TATCTGGTTTAAGCCCCACGAATTCTCATTCTTGCTGCTCCAAACCTCTTTGACACATACACACACACATAATGTAACACGTTGCAATTTTATCAGATATGGCGAAATAAATAAATTTGGGATGAAGTTTAAGAAGAATTACGAGATTACCACCAACGCTGAAGTTTGTAACTATGTAAGTGCGCTATGTGACATGCATTTTGATATGATTGCCAGAGAGAGAGAGGATACTGCGGCGCATTCATAATTGGCCGGAGAAGGAGGGAAATTATTTTCTGCAAACCACACTGCGTTTACTTTATCCTCATAATTCAGAGATTTGTCTCTACAGATGATGCAAACATACACTAATGTAATTATGTATATGCTGCTCTCCCTTGATTTATTCAATTATTACTCATTTTACCCAGAGAGCCAGTTTATTTAATTACTTTACAATTTGGCACTAATGTTACAATTCTTTATTCTTGCCAGACCTAACTAAGAAGAAGAGCTATTTATCAGGCGATTGAGATAAATTGCTCTACAATCTGAATTGTAAATGGCTAATATCGAGTGAAGGCTGCAACGAGAATGCTGAGGTAGGTGCATACCTTCATAGTTTGGGAATTTGGCAACACACGTACATAATGGCGATTTAATCTTGGGTGTCCTTGCTCATCTCAATTTCGTTGTAATTATTTAAATTATAAAACATGAAGTTTTTGTATTTTAGATTGATTGATCCTTCCTTTCATATTTACCAGCAAGGCTACAACACCAAAAAGTGTGCAGATTTGCAAGTTGGCAATTTAGATTTTCTAAAAGTCTATAATTTTGAAGTTGAGTTTTTTTTCAAAATTAATCTAATGTGTTTTCTTGCATTAGTTTATGCAGTACAAATATACGACAAATGATGTATAACAATGTAGGAAATATACAAATCGAAGCGCTGGAAAAGTTGTTAAACTTTGAGCTATGGGGATGATTTATGCTAATTATAATACTACCGGGGGCGTGCGTGCCATCCTTCATTGAAGATTTGCGATTGGGTGACGCAACTTAAAATATTGAGTACTGGCAGGTGTGAACAATATAATCTTCCACAAATTGAGCTCTACCCTTTTCACATTCAATTAAATTAGAAGTGTGTCTTTTGGGTCATTAGTTGCAATTTACTTGCTGCCATAATCTTTATTATTGAAATGCACATTCTTTCCATTGTACGTGAATACATGAACAACAGGTGCATCATCTTCTCCTGCGAGGGGTTTAGATTGGGCTTGTATGTCCACTAGGCATTTGCCATAAATAACCGTCTATGACGAATTCCATCAAGAGAAGCTAAAACTACATACTTGATACTGCATGCTGTTTAATAATCCGTAATTTCTGCTGCTTCCAACCAATTAACCAACACCTCATTTGTTAAGGGAGTGGATTCTTACTACATGATGGATATGATTTGAGAAGAATTTTAATTTGCTTGGAATTTAGTGTTTGACAACCAGTATTCTCTTTTACAAATTGTACAAATGTGTATCAAACTAAAGACATGTATTTCGCATTTGCTAGTAAAGCCAGGTACATATGCATAAACATGGAAGGTTACTACTGGTAAACTAGACACTGGTCAACTTTTGACTTTGGAATACAAGGGATGGACATATTTAATATCACAACTGAGTAGAAGCATGTATTTGTCACGAGTGGTGCAGATCTGTGAGTGGTGCACAGATGGCATGTAACAAGATGATGACAAATGCTAGTATGTGTGCTAAACCATTTAACAATGAAGACGAATTGGGAAATAAATTGATATTCAAATGAAATCATCCTCCAATCCTTAAGCTTTGATATTAAAGGTTGGGTGAGTGAGTGTGCTGTGTATGAAAAAAAAATCACTTGACTTTTGTTTTGTCTCAAGTGACGAGAGAAATGATGAATCTTGTGGGCATGAAAAAACTTCAGGGTTATGAGATCACACTATACTTCGGACTTATGTAACCAATACGAAAACCCATGAAGGGGATGATTACATATGCAACAGGGTATGTATGCACATATAAATGTAGATGACATATACATATATTCACTAGAGTATAAAATTTAAGTTTGTGTATTTAATATTGATGGAGAACTGAGCTATATTCGTGTTGAATTTGCTAATGCTTGCAGAGTTTCTTAAGGAGACACAGAAATTCAATTTGGCGTCTCTTTGCATTTGAGAGGTAGTAATGAGCCATCACCGCTCACAACTTAAAGTAAATCAAAGTAGAATGACTAACAAGGAGCAAAAAAGTCTTCCTGTTATTTGCTTTACTTTTAAGTGGCGTCAAGTCATTAGCTATTCATCGCATCGCATCGCAGCAATGGAAAAGAAAGCTAAAAATGTTGGTTGAGGAGGATGAAGTGAATTTGTGAACTGTAAATAACCGACACATTAAGAAAAGGAACACCACCTTAATCCAACTGAGGTAATAATAGAAAATTGGTTAATTTTTTGCACCTAAAACGAGATAAAGCTCGCATTCCATTCAAGTGCGGCTTGTTGTGGAGCCAGTAGATTTAGTAGATTGACTTTGCCTTACTCCGCAAATGTAATGTACAAATGGTGGAGTGCTTGGTAGGATGTGGATGCTGGTGCGAGAGCAGTCTTGTGGCAATAAATAGTTGGCTTGGTCAAATACAAATTATTAGCCATTAACTCGATGTTAATGGAGGGAAGACGTAGGAGGAAGACAAGAAATTCGGTGGACGACATGTGAATAAAAGAGTAGATCACACAAAGAGATTGTTGGCCAAAATAAATAAGAACTGTGCTAAGTCTAAAATGGACAGCGTTGGTTGTGGTGATGGAAGGTGTGTGTATGGATGGATACATGCACAATATTTCCAAGTTTTAAAGGTGTTTGAACTTTTGGTGGGACGCTGCTAACTTAAAATTCCATTTGCTTGCTTTCAGAGGATTGGGATGTTTACTTTTTATTTTAACATCTTTCTTCAAGAAGGGCCATGTACTCGGAATTTCATCTCTAATTTTGGTGATTGCACATATTCGTAATATTTAAACGTATCGGTCCATGTACCATCAAGGCGAACGTTAAACAGAGGGATGTACATATGTAGTTCAATGAATCAGAGACGGCGTTGTGTGGGACCAACATTGGCAAGTTTCTGCATTACATTTATTACGAAATAAAATCCAAAGGCTCAAGTTTTATACACTCATGCGATCATCAGGTGTATGTATGTAGGTGTAGATGAGATAGTTATTATGCAGATATATAGGTTTACCAACAAGTTCAGTCACACCTTGAAATTCACTAACTACACGTTTATCGATTCCAGAGGTAAAAGCACGAGTCTACCAAAAGTACTACCACACAATACTATCACATCCCAAGAAGTGCCTCATGCGATCCTCATGAATTTGTATGGACGACACGAAGATAAGATCAACATGACTCTGAGAAATCAGTAAGCTCCGTCAGAAGTCGTACTGCATTTAATCTCAATCGACAACTAAAATATCACGACCTTTCAGTAAAATAAATAAACACAAATCAGTAAAGTACTCGTCAGTCAAAGTACACACACAAATGGCAAAGCCGCTAAAGAGAGTAAAAAATGAGAGACGGATTGAATCAGGGATATATCGGGGATCAATCATCATCAATAATAAAAGCAGAGAAAAGATTGATCCTGCTTCACCTTTCAAAAATATTTCTAAATTATTATTGACACAAAATCCTATTGTTCCCGTTCCTCAAACCGTGCTTAATCTTCTTGGGAGGTGGAGCTCAAGATTTAACCTCAATTCCACTCATGGCGAGGAAATCTTTGCTTCCATTTTATCCACGTATTAAATACATCACATTCAGTTGCTGGTTAGTTGAAAGGGATATTTTACTTTGTTATCCTTATTATTACTATTCTTCATTAGACATTGGTCTTATCAGGCTGCGCTGGATTATACGCAAACTCCATTGTTTTTTACACCTTCAGCTTCATTCACAATTTCTATAATCTTTGGTCTGTTCTCAGGTGTTGACAACGGCGGTTTCCTTTGTACAATTCAGCTTCTAAATGAAAAATGAAATAAAAACTTTTACACGTACGTATGTAGGTATAGGTAGCCTCGCTGTAAGGTAAGTAGCAGGAGATAAATGGAACTCTCCAGCAATGGAAAGCTTTCACAAGTTTTTACCACTTTTTCTGATTGTTAATAAATAGAATAAAAATAAAATGGAGAATTGGAAATTGAAGTCAAAGAAGAGGAACTGGAATTTGTCGGAAGTTTGTGATAAATCCAACCAAATACAATACGAGAAATAATAAATACTTACACGTTGCACTCCAAGATTCATACATGCACAAAATGTAATGTTTATTCGATCCTTACGTTTCCTGTGTTAAGTTAATCATAACTCGTCTGAAACATTTTGTTTTATGGGATCGTGTAGGTGGTAATGGCTTTCAGTCAGTGTTTCAGGGTGATATTGGTCTCGTCTTCCACCAAGAAAAGTCCAATTATTTGTCGAGTTCACTCTTCAAAAAATACTTTAATGGATACACATTAAAATTCAAACTTTTGACCTGACCATGTATGAACTAATGCAATTAATAGAAACTGGACAACTTAAATTAAATCTACATAAAAGTATGTAATGCTGAGACCATGAAATGTACATCGTTTGGTAGTGTCACCTGGCGTAGGTACAAATCTACATATATCACAGCATAAGAAGATATCGTTCATTGTTGTTGAGAGAAGAAGAGACGTTTAAGGAAGAAAAAACTAAAAGTTGGGATTTGTAATAAAACGACGACGACAACATTGAGCTTGAATTGATAATTTATAAATCAGTCGGTCGGTGAAGTGGAAATAGGAATCTTGTCCAAATCAACGCTTGTCCGTGAGGATTCAATCTTTATGATAATCAAGTAGCGAGTAGGAGACATACACCTGAATGCACTTTTACGGTGCAGTTAACTTGCCCACGGTGAAGATAATGTTCTTGTGTGGGAACAAAACGGTTATTTTATTACCAGTCTAACATCATTCCGGTCAGTTTAAACCCATTTTGACTTCACTTGGAGAAGTCGGTAAAACAAAGGCATTGTAAACTTGTTCCATTTGTTGTAAAAAAAAGAAAAAAAAAATATTGTCGTGGCGTCGCCTTCTTGATCTCTTTGCCCAGCTTGAATTTAGGCAATTGCTGGAGCAAAGAATCTTCTGGTAGTTTTTGTTCCTCTTCTCCTTCGAAATCAAAGTAAATAAACTTTGCTAGAGCAAGACGGCGCGCATCCTTTTCGTCCTCCGCTGACACTGTTTCCTTACGAGTGTTCATAAATTGGACCCTCATCCCGTCGAAGGGTTCGTCATTTCGCAACATTCCCAATTTCTACAAGAAAATAGTGCGCAAACAATTAGTTATTTGCTTAAGCAATTCTTTGTTAAGAAAAACTTACTATTCCGAATCCTTCCAATCGATGGGCGTAAGCGTCGGACTCCTTGATGGCGTCTCGCAAAGTGTCTCCAGACAGAGTGGTGAAGTTGGCAATATTGCAGTTGAAGATATTCAACTCAAAGCAGCGCCAGCCATCTTCCAACATCTTCCAAACGGTGGAGGAGGGGGAGCGAGGGTGGTAGACGGCGGACCGTTGGCCGTTGGAGTAGTATCCCCAGTACAGGTTCATGAGAAAATCGGGGTCGTCCTTGTGGGCGATCACGTGGGCTTCGATTTGTGCTGGGGACAGCTTCTCGATATCGTCCCACTTGAATCCCCCGACCCAGTAGTTACAATACGATTTTTTTTGGAGAAAGGCATCCGAGACGAGGTCAGAATACTTGGAGTCGATCAGCTCCACGGTCGAGAGGGTGGCCAAGTAGTTGTTGAAATTGCTACAGTAAATAAATACATAAAATTAGTGTCATTATTAAATTTTGAAAATAATGAACGAATAGGTCACTTACACCGGAGAATTGTCAAACTGCGAGTAGGCCGGACGTCCCAACCACAAGTTCAGGGTCGACTGATCAATCCTGAGGATTGCTCTAGCAAGTATCAGAAAATATTATTTTGAGGAGAGAATTAATTGGTTTAGCAAAATGACCACTTACTTTCGTCGCAACTCCGCCAAATCTTCTCCAGTTAGGGTTTTTCGTCGTTCCTTCCTCTGTTTATATCTGTTTTTGCTAAAAAAGACAGCCACGTTTAGTACCTCAACTAATTCATTAATTATTAAATGATGCAGCTTACAGAAAATCAGGATCAAGTTCTAGCTGCTTCTTTATGTACTTGGCACTGGCTGATCGTACCTTTTGCCTGTATAAACAATGAAGTTTCTTAAGAAAGCGTAAACTAGGGACGTTTTTGTTTCTAAACACAATCAGTGATTTGTACCTGAATTCTTCCTCATTCTCTTCAATCTGTTTCTCTCGATACAGAGAAAGCCTCCTTGTTCGTTTTTCCCTAAAAACATGTCAATTTTTGCCAGACAAAATTCAGAATCGATACATTTCTTACAAAAGAAAATAATTATACCTAAACGCTTCTTCATTTTCTTCGATCTGTCTTTGCTCATAGGCAGCATAACTTTTGGCACTTTTAGTCCTGTTAAAATTATTTTAATCTCTACCCAGTTAATATAATTTCTCAACAGAGTATAAATGTACCAGGTACCTATATGCAGGAGACTGCTTCTTTTCTTGCTGATTCAGCCTTTTGTTGTTTTTTACGTTCCCTATGCCACAATTTATTTTTTAAGAAAGTATCAAAATTATTAGAATAAGCATCATATTATGCTTACTTTTTCTCCTCGGCAGTCAATCCAGCGAGACTGACCCAAGTTTTGACTTTTTTGACCGGAACAACAACCTCCTCGTCATCACTTTCTATAGAAAAATTAGCAAAACCAATCGCATCATCATTTATTTACCATCCATAACTTTCTTAAGAAACATTTCATCAGAAGCTAACCAGATATTTCGACCGTTTCCTCCTCCTTCTTCTCATCCTCGGATGATATCCAACCGGGATCATCACATTGTCTCAGTTCGATGAAACATTCTTGAATTCCATGTTGCTCCAGCAAATCTTTATCCGTCACATTGCTGGAAGCAACAGCTTCATCCGAGAAGGTGGTCCTTCGAAGGGTCCGGAAGAATTCCTCATCCTCGTCGTCAAGATCATTTCTAGAGAAAGAACAAGTAAATTAACCCCCTTAAGAGCAAAGATTTGCTTGAGCAAAGAAATCATAAAAGTACCACTCACCTGGGCAAAGGGCACGGTTCAGCTACCAGAACCTGCCCCACCTCCAGTTCCAATTCGTCATCACCAGTACCGACACTGTTAAATACATTAATGAAATAAACCGTTAAATTAAATAATTGCTGGAGCAAAGACAACTAAAAAGTACCACTCACCTAAGACTAGAAGAACACGGTTTTTCACCGTCGTCAAGAAAAACATTCCGACCTGAGTCTACTTTTTTATCATCGTCGTCGTCACTGCAAAATAGATAAGAATTACATCAATTGCTAAAGCAAATAGTTTGAAACCACCAATTATTTACCTTGAATGCTGCCGTCCAACAGAAAAAGTCCTATGAGACGACCCCGAAGACTCACTAAAACTACCGAAATATATGATAAACTGATGGTTAATTTATTATTGCTTTAGCAAGTACTATCCGCACTTACCTCATAATTACAAACCTAATTGTTGTCAAATTAGCAATGATAATGATTTTTATTGGAGTAAACAATGAGAGAGAGAGTAATGCTTCTCAAAAAATCTCATACCAACGTTTGCTTGAGCAAAACCCACCACCACCATAATCCATGATGGATTATGGTGGTGGAACATCCCCGAAGTTCCTATATTAAATGCACATGGGATCTACCCATGTACCTCGTCATCTAGTTTTCGCTTGTAAATTCGCAAAAGTCAAAAAACTATGTTAAGACCACAAAAACATGGACACAAATATTTTAAAATAATTTTTCTATCATTTTAAAGCCTTTCGAATTTTTCACACATCCTCTTACCTTACACACTTTTTGCTGTTGGGTGGGGATATCAAGCCAGCGAACTAGGACAGCCTGAATCCATCCATTACATTAATCTCATCTCGCCTCATCACCACCAACCTCATAATTTCCAACTCCTTTTTTGTGAGTGTTATTTTTGCTGAATTCTTTGCTAAAACTTAACTAAAATTGGATATCTGTAGTTTGTAAAATGTACATTCTCATTCGCTTATTTTACCGTCACTGATTTTACTAATGCATTTTCTGATCGTGTCATAATAAAAATCGGCCGTGACTGTCATTTCGAGTTGGTTTGGATCAAGAAAAGTGAGACTAAGAAGACAACTCTGGCGTTTTTTGCTCTTGTCAACTCACATTTGGTAACCCAGAATGACAACAGGAGCGACGTGACGATGGGCATTTATTGCTGGAGAATTAGTACAGGGGAGACATAGTTGACGACGACAGTGATGTGGCCAACCCATGATAAAAGGATAAAAGCGACTAAACTCAACACAGATCAAAGAGCAAATCAATTTATTTCAACCTGCATTTTCTTCGCCTGTCCTTCCCATTCCACTCCATTAAATACATGTGATGTTCACGAGATCAAGGATCAAAATCAGATGGAGAATTTAACTCGCCAGTATTTCATTTGTTGGCAGATACATGAACCACAAGAGCTTTCACCAGCCAGCTCTTGTACTATCTGAAACTATGACTATGCCCACGACACGACAAAAAGCGGACACACAAACCCACTTGTCTCAAATACCAAGATTTGTCGAGTTTAGTCGCTTTCCATGTTTATTTTGTCGACCAGGAACAAAAAAATGAAGTTTTTCCACTATTTCTAAATCACTAGTAGCATTTCTATAATAAACAACAGCATCTACTTCTGGTCACATTGAATTTAGTACATCCTCGCACATATCAGATATCGCTGCCTTACCTTTGGTGACCTATATCAATTTTTAGGAACATATTTTGCCTTTCTGCTCAGATAAAATGGGTGTTCATAAATAACTCAAGTTTCAAACCTTAGGATACAATGTGCCAATCACAGATTGGGCCAACAGCAGCTTTTACTTTTACAAAATAACACCGTCTCAAACCACGCTGTAAATATATAACCTTTACTTTACCTGTCTAAATTGAAAACAAAACGATGTATTTAATACAGTGATTGGAATCAGTTTTGGTCGTGTATGTACATGATTTTGAGTGATGTGATTTATTAAGATTCAAAAATTTAACTTGAGGAATTTAGATCATTTCGTTGTAATGTAAATGACTGAATGCAGCTTGAGTAAAGAAATTAAAAACGAGGTCAAACGATCATAGCATGCATTAGATCATGGGAAAGTTCATTACATTTCGTTACTTGGAAGGAAAGATTGCTAGTTCCCTGTGGATCTGATGCTCCTCATTCACCTTAATTGTCGGCCTTTTTGCTCAATACAATGTTTAAATTATGCATTCCTGGTTGGAGGAATGCTTCACAAAGTCATGCATCATTTCCAGCATTATTAATACCTCAACCAAATCCTATCGGACTAATCCAATTTCAAGAACAAGTATATCACGCCATGCCAGCCAAGTTTAGTTTTTCTTCCAAATCTCTTCTGCCAAGTAGAAAAGTGAGAAGATCCATAATACGTATGGATGTACCTGAGATGCATTCCAGCAGTCAAGACGTGTGGTGTGAAGGCAAACTCGATTGAGTCGACGTGAGTTGTTTTTGGTTCCTTACACCTCTCAACTAATCCTTTAAAACGTAGAAAATTATTGTCAGGAATGGTGAACGTACTTACGTAACGTAACGTATTGAAGAAAATTGGACGAGAGGAGATACACGCCGAATATATACACGCCGAAGACGGAGGAGATCAATATTTACGCCGCTAGGCCATTTCTTAAGCCATTTAATTTCATTAACCTCTCTAAACTGGCCGGCTTTGATGAATCTAGACTGATCTTTGATTTGATCAGTTATCCATCATCATGATGCTCAGGGCACTTTATTTTTCCTTTATAATGATCATCAACACACGTTAAGTAATAGTTTTCAATGTGCCTTCAAACTTGTGGTGAGATATGAATTGTTTTTCTTGTAAATTAAATTTTTATCAGATTTTAGTCCAGCTTGATTGGCTGGAAAGATGTAGCATGCTTTAAGTTGGGTGGTGTGCGTGAGTGCAATTAACGTCTGAGCAATAACAAAATCACTTTGTTAAATTAACGAAGTGTATTACGTATCAATATATGCACAAGGAAAACCAAAGGTACATACGTAAGAACCAATGTAGTAGTAAATAAATAATTCTCATACCATTTCTGTCTATGTATTGAATCAAGTTGTTAAAATCTGAATTGGGTGCAAATATTGTCAGCCTCGTTTCATTATTACATTAAATATCCTACGATGCATATCTGTAGACCTTGCGATGGCCATAAATGTACCAGTCTTAATTTCCCATTCGATTAATTTTTGTTTTATGTACTATCTTCAATTACATTAGAGGGACTAACTTAAAGGTGAGCATGAATAAGATCCACATATTCTACAGCTCTTGGCAAAAAACAACCCACGATTCATGTACATGTATTAAATCCTCCTGTAATGCAGTCTTTGGGCTGGATATGAATATGGATACGGATCACCTGTAAAAGTCAGAATGTCAGAATTACGTCAATTTAACCAGTTTAACCTCTACTTTCTTGGAACTTTTCTCATTTTTGACAGCCTTCTGTTAACTTGACAGCTTGTGCGATATTGTTCTTTGTTTGGCTAACTTGACTTGATACTCTACAAAATGAACCAAACATTTTCAAACCATAGACGATGGCTGTGTAGGTTCTTCTTAATTTCATGCTCTCAAAAGCTACTCATGTTCATGTTTTATTTTCCTTCCCCATTACATGTCATGTTTCGATCAGATCGTAATTATCTTATAATATGTAACTCTTTAAAATGCAAAAGCAATCAAACCAAAAAATATATACCGTAAGAATTGAAATAAATGGAAATATAAATTAAACATAAATACATGCACAAGAGTTTACTAGAGTAATTTTGACTAGAGGTTAGGGTTAGCTTATTACAGTTTAATTATTCCAAGAAAATTAAGAACCTCTCCAAGCATAAGATTTTAAGCGTTCAAATACCATTGCTAAAAAATTAACATTATTGATCACCGTCCATTCCATGCGCATGTATTCATTCACTCTGAAGCGTCGAGTGTTCCGGCGAGTCTAGTTCACATGAAAAAGAGCTATTTAATTAACAAAAGATACTGAGCCAATTTAGTCCTTGGTAAAAATTTTGGGGCTTCACCTGTTACAAATCTTCCGCCTGTCACATTTCACAGCTGGAAATTATGTAGACCAAATTACTCGAGAGCAGTTAAAGGAAAAAGGTTTCATATCCAACCTGTTGAATGAGCTCACAAATTTCTTTTTCGTGTAGCAATGAACAATCCTTGCTCAAAATTCAACACCATTTTTGACCAAATAAGTTATGTTAGTGCTCCAGTAATATCGACCGGAGATTAGTTCTGTGGTCTAGTCCATTACATTTATTTTTATTATTGTACGCTGAGAAGAAGATCAACCCAAAAGTATGGACATTTAATGATATATATTGCAATGTTGATGGCACTAGACACGGTGTGGGTGCTGCTGGCTTTTCTAGAAAACGAAAACTTTACCTCGCTTTCCAGGGGTTTACTTCCTGGCTCCTCCAGAATTTCAATTTCGACCAAGGCCCGAATAAAGTGGTGGACCCACTGTTTGATTTCTAGCACTTTTTAAATTAAATCTGCTCCTACGAAAAAAAATGAGAAAGTCGTATATATTCGTCCTATGGTTTTCTGGGAGTATTTTGTGGCATGAGTTACGAGCCCCATTTTCCTTTGAGCAGTTTCCTCCGCTATTTCGTATTAGGAGCACTTGACTTGCATTTGTATGACCGTGATGGAGTCCCATGGATAAATTTATTTACAATTTTTATGGCGAGAGACCCACCTGAGACCACTCACCATCAATGTAAAGTAAACTGGAATAAAAAGCTACTTTTGGTTTTGCTCCGACTTTTCAAACGCATTTAAATTCTTTACAAACGCATTAAAAACGTAGTATCCTGTAGTTATTGCGTATATCCATACAACCAGTTCAGCTATATTCCATACATACACGATCAATCTTTACTGATGAAAAATGAATCAAATTAAACTCTAAACCACAACAACCGCCAACAAATTAACTGTAACAAATTGTTTATGAACGAACAAATTAATTGGTATTCGCTCCTGGTTCATCCAAACAAACAAATAAATGTGCATTACAAGACGCAGATGATGCGGGTCTCCTGAGCTTGGAAATCAAGTAGGTAAATATTTTTCAGAGTTAAAATAATTAGAACAAATAAGTGCTTAAAAATTCAAGAAATCCAAGCGCCCCTAGCAAATTTATGGGGTCCGGACTTGAAACAAGTGCAAGGCCAGTCGAAGATCGTCATCTCATAAATTACTTGAGCACAAGAGTTTAGTAATAAAATTGCGAAAAGCAGATGCACATAATATTATCATATAAATGCGGCAAAGAGTTGAAGAGGTTCAGTTCATTTCAATAAAATAAAGCAAATGCAAACATTAAACGAGTTCACTCCGTACATAAATGCGTATATACATATGCACCTTTAGTCATTGTTCCACTCGGCATTAGGTTACTTTGTACCCAACCAACCCAGGCGAAGTCAAGACAAACAAATCAATTGATCACGACGTGAATTATTTGGAGGGCAGAAGGATTTGAATTTAATAGAAATTAAGAATATTTTATCCGACCCCATCTGACTTTTACTGGTGAATCATATTTTTAAAATGCATTCCGTGCACATGGATGTAGTTGCACATATAAATATGTGTAATAAATCGTCGCAAACGCGCATACGGAAGTAGCTTCAGACTACTTCACTCCAAGCACTCCCACGACATCGCGGGAACACTTGATTTTACTGTATTTCATCTATACATTCAATTTTTTCAAAAATCTCATTTTGCCCCGACCACACCCCCTAGTGATAAGGGGGTGTGGCACAACTCGGGAGCACTTTATTCTACTGTATTTCATCTATGCATTCAATTTTTTCAAAAATCTCATTTTGCCCCGACCACACCCCCTGGCGCCCGGGGGGTGTGGCACAACGGGGGAACTCAAAATTTCACTCCATTTCATCCATAGATTCAATTGCACTAAAAATCTCATTTTGCCCCGACCACACCCCCTGGCGACCGTGGGTGTGGTCCGGTTGCACCCAAAAGTTGATAGGATCCTCCCCCTGGGGTATTATGTATGATGGCGAAAACCGATTTCGATTATCTTTATCCGTTCTCCCGTTATCCTGCTGACAGACAGACGGACAGACAGACAGACAGACAGACAGACAGACAGACAAAGTCTTCACATAAAGTAGCTGAAGCTACTTAATAAAATGCATAGAGAATGTGTGCAGGATGAATGGAGATGATGACGACGGCGAGCAGAGGAAAGGCTTTCCTTGAGAAGAAATTAACCAGCCCAATTTGTGTATGACTACATGCACAGGTTGAAAAAGTCGTCTAGATTCCTGTACGATTGGAATGTAGGGCCGAAGAGGCAATATAACATGTAGATTATGTATTACCTGAGACGAGAGAGTTCCAACAAATAGACCTCATAAATAAAATGTGATCCACTCTGTGTAATTGTATCAACGAATTTGCTTTTCTAGATTAGATAAGCATTTATTATCTTCCATTGCATCCTCATTCCTACTCTCAAAGCCTACCAACGAATTCATTTGTTATCAATTTCTTTCTTTTATGTTTTGATGAGATTACATTGCCAATGCCAAGAGAGATCGAGAAAAGTTCAATCGCAAAGAATTTTGGGGGTTCAAAGTTTCAAGTATCTCGGATAGCGTATTCATAATTCGTACAATTAGGCTCAAAAAACCAGCTTAGTTGCTCAGTATTTAATGCCGTTGAGTTATGAATCTTGTCAAAAATTTTGCCCTTTATAGTTAATCAGGCTTAATTTGATGTAAATGAAGCATATCAAGCTTAAATTGTTTAGTTGTTTCAATGAGTCAGTTTTCCTCACCTTTCAATGCAGCCACAATACACTGACGAAATCAAGTTTTATTACAAGGAAGCCTGAACAGTGTCACAAAATGTCTGCGTATTTCTATGATTTTATATGTATGTTTGAAGGTGGTGTTTTTGGGTTCATGTAAAAAAATTAATAAAACTCAAAATGTTGCTACCTAAATGGAATCGTATTAAATTACCGAACATTTAAAATCCACAATAGGTATACATACTTTTGCTAAATAACTTGAATTTCTTGCTGAAACGTTCACAAAATATTTCTCATAACCAAATTTAAATATGTAAGTGTATATTTTAAATGTCACGATTTAAGTATAGGGTTACACTTGGTTAACTATTTTTTTTAACTACAACTTATCAAATCAATCTATTGCAACTTTTAAAGCAATTAGAGCCAACGTTCTAATTCAATAAAATCCATTGTTTGATTTTGAATTGTATTGTTGTGACCCAAGCGTATGTAGAAAAGCTATCATAAAATGAAGCGTTGCAAATTAAATTTACTTTCTAAATATAGTTAACAGTTACTGTCAAAAATAGAGCTAACTTTTATTTGTAAACTGCAAATTTGTTTGTCCTTTATGCTTATTTAAGGTGATGACAAAAGAATATGTAGCATCCAAGTTTACTGCTCTCAATTTGCGTAGCTCTGATATTCGCAAATTCTAATTTTGAACTTTCTTTTGATTCTATGTACTTAAATATGCTAAACGTATTGTCAGTTCGGTATTAAGGGTCATTGGACCACCAAAGAGCAAACCAATTCGACTGATTTATCAGTGGATATGCGTGATTTAATTTATCCACAACAGAAGTATATGCATTCATGAACAAACGAACTTCCAACATCATTATGTATGATAAAGAATGCGAGCAAGTAGAATCTGAAGCAGATATAAAAAATACAAGTAAAGCAAACAGCGAAAGTATGAAAACACTACAAAGTTGCAGCACAATCCGCATATTATTACCAATAATGAGGATGAAAGTTTAAAAGTCAAGAAATTAAGTGGACCCCCAAAAACACAAACACACACACAGTAGTCTAATGAGCAGCAAATTCATCTGATTTGAACCACCACAACCCTTCTAATAAATGTATAATTTCCCAAAGTTCACTTTCATCTTGTTTCTCGATGCTACCATTTTGCTAGCAGAATAATGAAGTTTAACGAACACCCATGAAGAAGAAGAAGTAAGTAATGTATGTATGTAGGTAAAGACACATCTTAGAGAGAAATAACATAGTTTTATTAATGACTTTGTACGCAAAATTATTCACAAAAATCAACATTCAGAGAGTGGAGCTTATATGCATATACATATTTTCTGCTTTTTCTTGATTTTGGCTAAAAGCTTGTTATTACATTACACGATCTGCTCATCCTGACAAAGTAAACTGCTCTACTTCACATTAAAAAGGACTTTTTTGTGAGAAGGGCAGAGAATGTGTATGTTATCTTTGAGATACTTGATACTCTGATTTGGGAAATACATGTAAACATCTGCTTCATCTGCATCTTCACCAGTATTATCGAGACTGATTCTGCATCTTAATTACCACTAATTTTGAATTTTGTGAGCACACACATACGTTTGTTTGGCCGGTAATAATAATGGCTGTATCCCAATGCTGATATGTATAGCCTGACCCGTAACAATGTTGGTTATCCTGTACTTATTACAAGTGGTCGTCGTGTTGGTAAATCTTACAAAATCGACTCAAATTCATTTCTGGCTACATTAACATTCCTTCATTTGTTTGCAATCGTCTTTTTTCAATAATTGTCAGGTTAAGTGCTCTCCCAGTTATATATGACCGTCCTCGGTGAGGATAAATTAATTCAACCTGGCAGTTGTTGCTGGCTCAACACCAGTTTATAATTTCTTCTCATTCTTCCCAATTGCAGCAGAATGCTGCTTTTTTACAAGCAAAATATGGAAAAATCAACTTAATTTTTTCTCTATAAAATGATGTATTGTAGAATCTTAAAGATATACATGTATTGGTGGTTTGAGATTTTATAGATATGCATTTAGTCAGATTTACTGATTCCTCCTTACACACATCATCTTTTAATCGAGTTAAAAAAAATCTAAATCTAAATATAGCTATCAATTAAACTCTTGATTTTATGCCGTGACCAGAAATCGTCTCACTTTTCCCCAAGAAGAAGTCCGATTTGCAGTGGAGCTAGACGAGAGAGCTCATCTTTCGTTGGAGAGCGAGTGGGTAGTTGGTTTGGTGGTGGGTAGTGGAAAAGCGAGATGAGATTTACCAAGGGATGAAAGCACGGAAAGGTAGTCGACAGGGTGGAATATCGAATCTCTCTCTTGGTAATCTCTCATTGGGCTTCGACCAACAGATTGGATTCTTATGAAGATGATGCAGGAACGAGGATGCTCTCGTTCACATTTGTTTGTTGGCTGGTGGTACCCTACCCATTACAGAAGTGTATGTGGTGTTATTAGATTGGAGTAGTAGTGCAGGGCAGCCCATCACCATCATTCGCATCTACCTGTGGATTAATTCCATACCTTCTTCTTGGTGTCATTTCCTTGTGGGCCTTGGTTGCACTCACTCACGCTCCGCATCTCCTCTCCAGACCTGGAATCTGGAGCATCCAGTTCAAGTACCCTTCTCAACAAGAGTAAATAGCATTCGCAATAACTCCACTTTCCATCAATTTGTCACTTTTTACCGACACTGAGCAGTGACAACGCGCACACGACACACCGACACCAAGCACTTTTGGCACTTGGAGATTTAAACAGAATACTGTATCACTTTTCGTAAAAAGTGTCGCAACTTTCACCACTCAAGCAGACTCTAATAAACAGTACAAGCCAACATTGTGAGGAAAGTGAGATTTTTACTTTTTATTTTGCGTCGAAGGGCCTCCCTGCTTTGGCCAGTGTTATAATAATGTAAGTGTGCTCGATACATACGTCCCTTGCCACGTGACTGGCGAAGAATTCGAGATAAAAGGACAACAATTAAAAAAAAACTTGCAGTTTATTTGCCCCGTTTATTGTTGTGAGCAAAGAAGTTTAAAAACTTGGCCCGGGTAATGAAAAACTGTGCGATTAGATTACTCTGATTTTGGCCATCTTTACGATTACGTTGTACTGGACACTGTGCCAATTTGTTGACAATTTAAATAGGAGCGAATGGTCAATTATTATTTGGAGACACGATTCATAAAGAACTGACGTTTTAGTGTTTGTCAAAATTCTACTCTACCGCCTTATCGAAATGCCTGAAACAACGGCCCGTAACTTTTTCATCAGTAGCAGTGCCCTTATTTTTAATCAACAATGTTTGACTCTCCTTTAACCAGTGCTACTGGAACTGTAAATTAAGTGCAGGCTAATTCTAAAGGTTTCGAAATAGTACAGATTTTTATACTCCCGTCGTAATCTAAGGTATCAGCCTAAATCGTCCTTGATGTTAGACCCCAACGTATTTCTTCAGAATCCTGCTCCAGATTTCAAGGTATGAATTATTTTTACACATATTAAACGACGAATACTGAAAATTTATCGTTGCCTTTGTTGCATAAAAGTTAGAAAGATTATATACATAAATATTTAGGCATAAATAGGCATATGGAGTTTTTTTATAATCCGAAAAGAATTAACACGGTTAAAAAAGTTCAAAATGGAAACATAAGTAGAGTTGATTTATGATGTGATCAGCATTTCCGCACCTGGACTAGATATGTCATCGTACAAGAACAAATCTCTAAAAATATATCCGAGTCAACGAATTATTTCGACGACATTTTCCTGTATCAACATTGTATCGGGGAAGATTGATCTGATCCCGTCCGTCAAAATGAGGCATTGTGAAACTCCTTCTTATACAAGTCATAAGTACGCACATTCATAAGACGAGGAATAAATGGTAGTCCGTCAGTTGAGTTTTAGATCTCATTGTCATCTCCATTGTTGAGTGGCAGTCGGTCTTTAGCCATTCAAAGGTTTCAAAGTTTTGATCAAAATGGTAAATGGTTGGTTTACCTTGCTTCCTTCTACTCACAACTGGATCAGGATCAGAGAAGGGACATGATATGAAACTTGTCAACCAACCGACAGCATCATGAGTCTTCATGTTGATTGTTAATACTGATAAATAAAAAAGGTGAACGGAGGTTTCCACCAAACTATGTGTACACTCACTCAGCCTCCTTCGTCACAAAGAAGTAAAAATTGTGTGGAGTCAACTTGGCATTCTTTTCACAAAAATTCTAGTCATATTTCCACCATTAACTTTCCCTTTGACTTTGGTCGAACAATAATGTGGCATTGGTTTGTTGGTTTAAAATTTAAAATCAGAACATCATTTGGAGGGACAATTGGGGAGGATAAATAGGCTGGATGGGTGGTTCGGTCGTATCTTGTCCGTCCGTATCACCAGTTTGAATTTTTCTCATCTCAACTATGCAGAACATGCGTTTATTTCACGAGGGAGCAAATTCTTGCTCCAGTTACAAGACTAAAAGAGGGCTGAGATAAAATCTTATCTAACCTTCTGCTGTGACACGGGGTTAGAATTAAGAGTGAAATACGAGTTCAAAGTCAGCCTGGCCAACAATCCCAAAATCAGACTAAACTTGTCTGATACGTACTTACGTATGTACCTTCGTGGCTGGATGACTGGAGGCTCGCAACGTCTTATTGTTTGTGAGACTTGGCTGAGGCTGAGGCACTTTGAAGCGAGAACTTACAAGTTGGTACACAACAAGCGATGTTTATCAATCCTGTCATCTCATTATCCGCTCTGATGCACAAAATTACTCCACTTATTACATTTGTTCAACATTTTTAGTCATAATCTGCAGCCATAAACACCTTGTAATGATAAACGATTAACATTTCATACATTTATTGGGGGATTGTTAAGATAATTTCTGCAATTCTTCTTTTACTTCAAATTTCTAGACACTGCTCAATTATTTAGCATCAGCAGTAGTAAAAGTCGTTGCATGTTACGTAGTATGGGGCACGTTGAGATTTTTCTAGTTTAGAGAAAAAGTAGTTTTCAAGATAGGAAAATATTCTAAATGCAAAATAAGCCAAGATTTGTTTTAAATTATGGCAATTAAAAAATATGATATTACAAACTACAGGTCAATGGCCACAGTTGTAAATGCAAACATTTATTACATTTAAACGACTGATCTCGTTTAAAGGAATATTAGCTACATTGTTTGGTTTCGGGAGAATTTAGATTATTCAGATGTGATATTATTATTGTTAATTATATTCATAAGCAACTTCAATTAGTTCATGGCATGCATTTTATGTGCACACACAAAGGAAATATTTGTTTTGTATGTTATCATTTGAACTCAAATCTTGATTCTTCGTTGAATTGAAATTCCATTAAAAATCATGTGCTATCTGCTGTAAAACAACAAACCAGACTAAATCTTATAAAAGTATGATTTATTGATCTTGCTTTCGATCTGGCTTTTATTCCTGTAGTGCCAAGGAAAATCTGCTTAGCAATAATAATATCACATCATAGTTGGTATAAATTTATATCAGATTGAAAATGTAAAGACTTCATAGCTTGTGTGTGGAGAATACTGTGTGCTGTATTCATCATCTTCTTCAGAAAACAAAATTTATTTGCAATTCATTCATTCATTCATTTCACAAGCTGTGCTGACTCTATCGGAGGAACTTGAGAGAAATAATTTATTGGTTTATAGTGCATTCAAATATGGTTATTAGCATAAATTCACTAAAAGTTGAGACTTTCAACCCATTTTAAAGTGTCTGTCTAGAAGAGCTAAGATTTTGAGACTGATTACGCACATTTGGTCTATCGCAACATGTAGAGTAGAGTCTGCTGCTGAGGTATAAAATAACTTGTCAAATGGAAATTTCATGTAAATCGACCAGTCCTATCATTTGTCGAGAGCAAACGAGACCACTTACCGTACACATTTATGACCAGACCACTGATCCTGAGTTATCCATATCCTTCGTTGGGCTTCCTTTGACAGCACCAATTGGTCATTGTTTGATCTTTGTCCGTCGTGTTGAATACAATGTTGCAGAAATCACATTACCAGGTGGATCCACGTACCTACATACCACTCGCATTGTTGAAAATTAAAGTAAAACTTGAGCCTTGAGTAAAAAGGACAACGTAGGCAAGTAACTTATTGCGATCATGCATATGTAGTTACACACAAGTATGCACAATCTCCTAATTTTGTTAGTTTTTGGGAACAGGATTCAGTAAACGCAATAAATACATACATAATGTCCAAAATTGACTACCGCTTGAATTTATGCCTTAATTCAATGCAGTAATAACTATAGTAGATCACTTTTAATGTAAAAAAAATGTTGGTGCATTAAATTTAATTATAACTGTCTGCAAATACGTGCATATTTCACTTTTTGTACTAATTTTTACACAATGTATGTAAAAATATAATATAAGATGCCAGCAAAAAGTGAAAAAAGTGCAAACTGTTTGCACACTTGAATTCGTCGTCGTTGTCGTCGTCGTCGTCGTGTGTACAACAGCCAATGTGTCCATTCAATTACAAGGAGATATTTTTTGGATAAGGACCTCTTGGTGATACTGATTTATGACCAGTTGAGCTCATGGTTGATAGGGAACATGACTTCAACAATTAGTTGTTGTGGAGTGTACTGTACTGTCTTTGTGATTTAATTAATTCAAATTTTAGGAATTGTGTGCATTGCAGACATCATCATGAATCTTTTGAGGTTGATTTTAGCTTTGGACCGTTTGTGGTTTGTGTGTGTGCGAGGACAGGAGAGGAAAACATTAGAAAACCATTAAAACAAAATGAATGCAGGCTCAAGTCTGCTGATGGTACAATGTCCATTGGAGTGCGACAGAGGAAAAAGTAGAAAATCCTCTTTGTCGAAGATGACAATTGACAAATGTTAAGAACAAGGCAGTGACACTTTAGAAGTTAGATTGATTAATAGTCATTAATTCTGGATCTTGGCAGAACAACCCTCACACATGCATCTATATACTCGTACGATTTAATTTGAATTTCGAAATTTGGTCGTTCTTTCCTCTTTATAAACTAAATTCGACCTCACCAACACTTGCGCATTATTCCCAAGTAAATCTCGAATGGCGACTTGTTTGTTTGTCGTCTTTGGTGTTCTCTTTCTTTTTGTACATAGTCGCTCATCTCAATGTACGTACATAAATTAATAGTTGAAGAACGCACATTGTTGAATCTCATCATGATTTGAGGGATTCGACGGAGGATTGGATTGCTCAAATTACGCATAACAACGTGAACTTGAGAATCAGCCAAGCCACTATGTTGTCCTTGTTGCTAGCTCATCTTCTTCTTCTTGGGGGGACCATGATGATATGGTTCTCAACAATAATATGCTCAGTGATTCGGATTTCAATATATATAACTCAATGAAAACAACCTGGATCCACTTGAAAACATAAAAAACCTGAAACATTATTTGCGTGTTTTGTTACTTGGAGTATTGTGAATGACACACACAAGAGAATCTACAAAGTAAACCAATCCTAAGCACTACGATTATTACTTTCTACCGCATTATTGTGAACCTGGATTTTGAACCTAGCCCAGGCAATCAGGCTCTGACAATTTATTAATGATGAGTCGTGTCGTGAGAGAGGAGGATAAAGTGCCTTTAGCTTTTTCTTACTTACCCTTGAAAATTAAAAGTAGCAAATATTTGTACCAGAACATAAGAACACGAATTCAAGTTTAGTTTAGAAGAAGCTGGATAAGTTACCCATAATGCATTGTCTATACAGAACATTGTAATTCAAATTCGTACAAATACACTGGCAAATCATTAGGGTTGAGTGTTTGAGTAAGTTTTCACAAGACCTTTATTATTCATCATGGCATAGGTACTCTGACTGGAATACTTTTGGAAGATAGTTGTAAATGGGATAAATGACTTGAAAAATAAACCGAATGAATAAACTGAATGAAGAGGTTGAAAATGATCCGGGTTGGAACGCAGTCTTTGCTGTTGTGACACAGTTTTTACTTTTTTCGGTTCAGTTTGATAAATTCGAACGTCACCCACTTGTAAAGATAGCAGAGAGGACGTGTCATAACAAACAATAGTGTTGGCCGAGTAAAATAAATATTGCAAAAAGTTGCATGAAAGACTTTTGAAGGAAGGGCGAACTGAGTCTGTCGTCCCTTGAAGTGAAAAATTGAACTCCCAAAGATTCCTTCTGTCTGAGTCCTCAATAGAAAAAGAAGTCTCTTCAAAGACTTCACTTCACTAAAACGTCCCACTTGAGAGTTTAAACCTTACACGACAGCAGCAGCCACTCCAACAATTTATATATATTTATATGCGCATATGCACGTATGTATGTACTTTCCTCGATAAATGCCCACATAATGCCCTGTTCTCTATCTGTATAACTGCACAAACACCCTTGGACTGGTGCTACCTCTGCAGCAAGAACATACTCAA